CTATCATACTGTATGCTAATTGAAACATGCCCTAATCTAACCATCATAAGCTGGTAAATAAAAGGGAGAAAGACGTGGGGTTGGAAGACATACATCACACACACGCACACTTATTACAATATTGCCCTCGCGCAGAGGGTCCGAATAAAATAATATACAGTCCCAAATAAATAATACAGTCCAAATAATGTACAAAAATCCTAATTAATTACCAAATTAACTAAGAAAACAATAAACTGGCATGCAAGCCAGGGACTGCCTTGACTCTTCTTCAGATGATGAATGATGCATGTCCGGGTTGCCTTGCATGGAAATCCACTGTGATGCCCCAATTAGCCTCTGTTTTGCAATAACTTTTTGGAAAGCGCGCCAAGCCCCGAAAGACTGCTGATTCTTGATTTGCTGCAACAGAGAGCAGGAAAGGGGCATGGCAATGTATTTTCACAAATGTATGCATGTCTCGATCCTCGTGTCACCAATCACGCATATCGATGCATGATGGCCGAGGAGTCGAATTGCACAACTCAATATGAAATGAATGCACATATAAACACAACAAAACCTAAACTCCATCATGGATAATTCGGAGTGTCGGTGATTGGGAATTGAGACACGTTCCGTCACTCGAAGTACGAAACGTCCCTCGTTTCCCGTGCTCGGGCTAACTCATATCCCAAGCACAATGCGATATGCATGACATGCATAAATGCAACTAATATACAACCTAGCATGCACAGTGCTATGAGATGGCATACACGATGCACGAGATAACATGGCATACACAATGCGCTAACATACAACCTAGCATACACAACGCTATGGAATGAAATGGCATACTCAATGCACAATGGACTTACACCAACATGAGTGGACCTCAGCCACACTCACATAAGAGGCCATTAGATGAAAATGAGACACTCGAGATGCGTGCACGCATGCACGCAAACCGAGGACCGATTCTAAGGCACAAATGCCACTCTAACAAAGCATGACAAGGCATGGAATATGGCATGAAAACATGCAAATTTCAGTACCAAAATATGATGCAAAACAGCCCCGAATCATGGCAATATGGCACCCGATGCCTGAAATGAGACCCGAAATGCAAAACTAGGCACACGCAATGGCCTATAGCTATACAAAGCATGCATTATTTGAACACGAAATGTGAAGACAGAATCAAGACAGTCCCAAAACATGCATATTTCCAGTTTATAACAAGTCCCAAAAATGAATGCAAATAGGGCTAATCTATCATGCGAGAATGGCCCCAAAAGAGAGATATTAAAGCAAGTAGCAGCTTCTGGCTCTAAACAGATGAGGGCCCTTCAACAATGTTGAAGAGGGGCCCAAAATATGACCTTTTACAGCTTATGATCAAACCTAAAACAGTGCACAAGCATGCTCAAAATACTATGCAAAACAAGGCCAAAAAGAGAGCTATAACACAAAGTACAAAAAGGATGCCTCAAACAGTAAAATACCCTTAATGAAACATGAAGATGGGGTCAAAATAAGGCCATTTATAGTTCGGACCAGAGCCCAAAAACAGAAGCACAAGAGGCTAACAAATCATGCAAAAATAGAGCCAAAAGAGAGATACAAAGGCAAGTGGCAAATGGAAGCCTAAAACGGCGAGGATCCCTTCAACAATGTTGAAGAAGGGCTCAAAATAAGCCACTATACAGTTTACAACATGCCTCAAAACAGTTTATACATAGGCCTAAAATACTATGCAAGGAAATGGCATAAAAGAAAGGTAAAGAAGCAAGTGCCACAAGGAAGCCTCAAACAGTGAGAGGCCCTTAAACAAACATGAAATAGAGCTCAAAAAAATTCTATTTTCAGTTAGGGTCGGAGCTCAAAAAAGTAAGCACAAGGAGCTAGAATATGAACCAAGAAAAGGGTCAAAAAGGGGAGAAGAGGACTTACCCTTGAAGACTAATCTTTGACAACCTCTTGGCACAAGAAATGGTGCTCCTCGGCTCTAGAAATCAGCTCCAAGTGGTTGGAATGGAGGTGGTGGTGTGGTGCTAGGTGGTGGTGTAGAAATGGTGTAGGAACTTAAGGGTTTTGAGGGTTAGGATGTAGAGAGGGAGAGATGCAACATATGAGGCTCAAAGCAAAAATTTCTAACCCCCCAAAACCATCTAGGAGTGCTAGTTATATAGACAAAAAGGGTGGAAAAGAGGGGGAAAAATGGGGGGGAAAACAATTCAAGTTTCCCCCCAAAAGGCCAAACCCTCGGACATAAGGCCTTGAGGAAAACAAAATTCACTTCTAGGACACACTTGAGGAGGGGGTTATGGCCGGCTAGCTAAAAAGGGCAAAAAAATTCGTTTCACAAGCTAGGTGGCCGGCCTGCTAGATTTTCTGGCCGGCCTGCTACTTTTAGGACAAAAAAAATGGACTACCGGAAAGAAAAGTGGCCGGTGGGTTTTTGGGAAGTCCAATGGCGGCCGTTCAAGTGTCCAAATTGAAGCCCCAGAAGTTAGCTTTCCAATGGTGCAAACCTTGCATTAAAATTCCTCCTGTGGAAACAGTTATGGCCTTTTTGGTGAAACGGCACAGATTTCGGTCCAACCGGAGTGATGCCCTACTTTAATCAATTATATCTCCCCCGTCTGGAATTGGATTTAGGAGATTCTTGAGTGCAAAATGAAGCCCCGGAATTATTATTTCCAACGATGGTGGCCTCATAGCTTCATTCCAAGTATGCAAATGAATAGGCCCGATTCAGCGAGGGCTGTTCGACTCTTTCTTAACGGTTCATGCCCATTTTCTCCCCCAACTGGATTTCTTCCCCCTTCTCCTCTTTTCTTCAACTCCAAACCCCTAAGTAAGGTGTTTTGAAAGATTTTTCAAAGATTTCATCTCTCTTTCATTCATTTCCACTTTGTCCTTGCTCGGTTTACCAAAAAGCGCAACATTTGACAAAATGCGAGCCTCGGAACATCGTAAAAACTTTATTTCAAAAACGTTTTGAAAGAGAGGGTTTTAAGGTCTGAAATATTTTGATCAAGATTGTTTCGGTCCAAAAAGGGGTATGAAGTTGAGCTTTGACTCTCTCCTTGCCGAAGAAACTGAACCTTTGCCCTGCACATCTTTCAAAACCATCAGTCGCGTCCAAGTCTTAAAGGCGGTAAAAAATGGGGTGTCTACATATGGCTGACCTCTTGGAATCTGTCCTGGGAAAGGCCTTACGAAAAGTGCTACAGGAGAAGGAACATGTGTTGTTTCTCTTCCAACCGCAAGAAATCCCTCCAATCCCCTGGGTGCAAATTCAAACACAGGATTAGTGAAACCCTGTGTGCCAGGTGTGGCTTCGAACATAGGATTTGGAAACATCCTCATACCATTCCCTTGTACCGGCCTAAATCCACCAATTTGCATGGTTTTACTAGTGGGCAATGGTACATTTTGGTTTGCTAGTGGTCTCAAAGGAGCTTCATACCATGACTGAGGCACAGGTGACATTCTCTCATGGTTTTGATTACTAGATTGACCATTAGTTTGTCCATTATTTTGCATATGCTGTTTTTCTCGAGCCAATCTATGCAGAAGGGAATTCTCGCTCTCTTCAACCTATCTTGCAATAGTTGGTTTATGAGAGTTCATTCGATCCAAAGAGAATGTTGCTCATCTTTCCATTGTATACATTAATTGATGTCCCATAGCATCTACTAATCCTCTCCATGGATTTATTGGTTAGGTAGAAGGGACAGTTGAAGGTCCAATTTCATGGCCATGTCTAGTATGTTGGACATGTGTTGTATATTCTGAAGTGTTGGTATATTCGACCATTTGCAGATGATATAATGGGATAGGTGCATCCATTACATTCTCTTCTGGGTTAGGTATTTCTACCTCTCCTTCCACACCCTCTTCTAAGAGTTCATTTTCTCCTCTTACTCTACGTCTAGCCATTTTTATAGTCCCACCGGGCATGCCAAAATATATGTTGATTTTTTTGACTTTCGAAGGTTAATAGTGTAAATTTAAGCGTGCCAGTAAGGATCAATCAGTCCTTGCAGAATTTTAATTACCAACCAATTATTAGACGATTGTGTTGAAGTTCTTTCAACCTCAATGAAGAAGACTTTACTGGTGGCTTGTTTTAGGAGAAATTTATAAGAAATAACAAGTACAGAACAATTCAGAAATTGAATTTCATTGAGTAAATAGGAACTTACAATGAAATGGCCCAATCTTGAAAATGTTTACAGCAACGACTACTTGAGAACTACTCCTAGGAAATGAAGTGCAGTATAGGAATTGAATCGCTGAAAATGTAAAGAACTGGAAATGTAAAAACTGGAAAGGAAAAACGAAGTAAATAAACTGGTTTCTGGATCTAAGTTTAGGTCCTTGCATTCTGGTGCCTTCTCCTCTATTTATACTTTCCAATTGTAGCCGTCGAAATGGGCTTCTAACCGTCGAAATGCACTTCCACGATCTCTGATTATGGCTTCACACAATCAGCTTCCACTACGTCATTCCTTCAATTAGGCTTTCCTCTTGCATTTGAATTCGAACTTTTGAGTAACCGTTGAGCCATATTACCCCGCGCCTTCTCACTGCTTCCATGTAACGCAGACCCACCATTACTAATATGAATTGCCACATGTCCGTTGTTGATTGGAGACTTGCATTAATTTCCCAAAACACCCTTCACGAGTCACATGTTAAGCTACGACTGACCTGTACAAAATATATAGCTGACACTTTCATTTCATATATGTATTATGTTATATGTATATTTTTAACAAATCCACCATTTAATGGATTATTTTGATGATTGGGTATCTAAGTTAATTTATACGTATTTTAACTAATCTAAAGATTCACGCAAAAAACTCTCTTCACGTGGATTGCATAAATTTTAAGCTGAATTTATAATCATGACCTTAAAAAATTAATAGCATCTAGTGGCAGCTATCAACCATCTAATGGACCTTAATAGAGAAGAGAATTGGTAATCGTACTGTAAAATAGAGAGAGAGGGAGGGAGAGAGAGAGAGAGAGAAATGAGAAGGGGGAAGTGGAAGAATGACAGAGCAAATGAATTACAAAGGACAGAGAGGGAGCAGTGAACGGAATTAGAGGGGGAAATGATAAAAGAGATGTAATGAGTATTGTATGTTATTTTTTTTATTTTTTTTTCTAATTGAATATTTTGCCTCAGAGAGGGTGGCAGCTGCAATGGAAGGGTAATGGCACTAGAGCCACGATGGCGTTGATTTAATTTTATATTATACTAATATGTCACTTGTGCTTTTTATGAAATAAAATAATATATTATTTATTAAAAATATAATAATTATATTTAATTTTTTATATTTTATCTTTCATAAATAAAATTTTATATGTAAGTTTAAGAGTCTTATTTCAAATATTCTTTTACTATAATATATAGTATAGACAGATTAAAATTATTGTATTGACAATTAACAATTAAAATTATACTTTGTTATAAAAAAATGATATAGTTCCAATACTTCACAATTTTAGATTAAAAATATATGAATTTTAAAAAACTATTATATTGGTTTTTGAAAGGGAAATAGTTAAAAAAAATTTAAAAACTTAATGAGTAAGAAAAAATTATCGTAACATGTAATTTAAAATATCAAAAAAAGATGATAAAAAATGAATAAAAACTTTAAAAAGATGTGATTACAATTAAAATTAATGCCGTATTTATTAATAAGTATAATTTTATTTGGATATCTATTTATACTTTAACATGCTTATTTAAATCAAAATAAAAATATTAATAATTTTGAGTTATAAAATATGATTTTTTAGACTTGCTATATTAACTTTTGAAAAGAATATATGAAATTCTTTTACGAAAATTGAATATTAGTCATTGAGCAAATCTTATAAGATTTAAAATAAAACTTATAATCGAAAGAAATTAATGATATTGCAACATATGCATTTTAACAAATTTAAAATTTGAAAAAAAAAAATAGATTAGGGCTTTGAACTTCAATTATCGTACAACATTTTTATTTATATAATAATATAAATAGGGTTAGGTAATAGATAGATTAAAATTTATTATAAATATAGCTATATTTAAAAGGATATGGTTTTGTACAACTATATTTCAAAATTCAAAATTTATTTTTCAACTTCCTATATAAAAATATTCAAAATTTTAAATTACATATGATTTTTTTCTAAAACCATATGAACTCACAGTAGAGAAGAAAGAGAAGTACTATAAAGGAAGAGAGGATTTGCACATATTAAAGATAAATAATTGACTAACACCTTTAATAATTTTGAGAAAATTGATTAAAATTAATATTTTCTTTTTATAGCTTTGAAAAACTATTATATGCCATTGAAGTAATACTCTGTACCAACTGTCAATTAACACCATGATATCAAAAAAATATTTAAAGGAATTTTTTTAAAAAAAATAATGATTTACAAACATAAAATCAATACAAAAAACTTACTAATAATGATTTTGTTTAAATGACCCTAGCACGCCATTTTAGTATAAAAATTCTAGTAAAACAATATTAAGCAACAAAAAATACTCATAAAACGAAAAACAGATAATGGTTGGTAGAGGGAATGGAGAAATGACACACAAAATATAAAATACAAAAACAAAAAAAAATGATCATAGATCAAAAATAAAAATAAAAAAGAAGAAACAATAATGTACCTGAAGAATAAAAGAGTCTGTTCAAGTAATACAATAGATTAAATATAAACTATTTCATAAAAAGAAATTTTAAAAATAATTAGTTTCATCGTTCTATGAATGTAATATTTATAGGGCGAGAAAGACATGAATGACTTGAAAAAAATATAATGGATGATGGTTAGAATTTTTTGATAGATTAAAGAATTGGTTAGAAAAAAAAGTGCACAATTGCTTGGTTCCATTTGTCCAAAAACACTTTTCAGAAAATTCTACTTTCTTATTTTCTGTATTTTTTTTGTTTTTCCTGAATTTTTTTTAATAATTTAAGATATTTTTTTTTTACTTTTTAGACATACCTAACATAAATATACCTAAAAAGTAAAAAAAATTTGTGAAAAAAAAAATAAAAAATTCACTAAATACCAAAAATACAAAAAAAAATAATAATAATACGAGAATTCAATACATTATTTTTGTATTTTTATGTATTTATTAATTTTTGAAAATATTTTTTTACAAATTTTTTACTTTTTAGATACATCTAAGTAATGTGCATCTAAAAAAATTTTAAAAAATGTTTAAAATTTTAAAAATATTCACTAAAAATACAAAAAAAAAATACAAAAATCAAAAAACTTAATTTTCAAAACACTTAAGCCAAAAAACGCAAACCAATCACACTGATAATGGTTTTCATCTTTCATTTCCAAAATCTGTCACCAAGTCCACTCTCTCCATCTCGATCTATTCACTTTCTCTTACCACTTTTCTTCTGCCGTTGCTCCTTCTCCGTCGCTGCTCCGCTCAGAGATCCAGATCGTCTTCTCTCACTCTCTCTCTCTCTTCTCAAATTTGATAGTGGAGGATTGCAAGTCGGCGGCTGGGTCACAAACGGCGAGCCCATCAAGTACGAGTTTCTGTTGGCAAGTCTGAACGCTACGGGAATTTTGGGGTTGTCATCGGTCTTCGATCTGAGGAAGAAGATGATTGCAAATCTTTAACTTTGGCATCGTCGTCAGTCTTTGATCTTTGGGGTCATCGCCGCCGGTCTTCTTATTCTTCTACTCTCGTTGGTGTTGGATCCAATCGGGCAGAGTTGCATTTCACGTAGATCATCGAAGATCTGAGGAGAAAATGAAGGTGATAGAGAAAATCAGAGAGGCTGAAACAGGAGACAAAGTGGTGTTCTCGTTTGAGTTCTTCCCACCGAAGACGGAAGATGGAGTGTACAATCTGTTCGAAAAGATGTAGAGAATGGTGATTCATAACCTATCATTCTGCGACATCACATAGGGTGTTGGTGGATCCACAGCCGATGTCACCCTCGAGATATAAAACATAATGCAAAACATGATGTGCGTGGAGGCCATGATGCACCCCTTAGACATATATGACTTCTTTGTTTTTTTTTTTCTCGAATCTGATCTGTTTTTTTTATTTAGGCTCCTTGGGTTTGAAATGAATAGATCTGTGTGGTGGTGGTGGTGGTGGTGGTGGTCAGTAGTTTTCTCTTTCATCTCTTTTTTTTTTTTTTTAATGATAATTATGATGATAATTGCAACAGATAGTGGCTTGGGGGTTTTTTTGTTTCAAAAAAAAAAAAAAAAAAAAAAATATATATATATTTGTTTAATAGCTGGCACCACATTCCATTTCTCTTCTTTTCTTTTCTTTTTATTTCTTTCTTTGATTCTTCCAACTCCACTCACACACACACCCACGGGAGTGACTGACAGCATTGGGAAATTATGAGATTGAATGGTGTAGATGGATTAGTAAATCACTCACCTATGAAATTGTTGATAATTTATCTATTGATGAATTTATTATCTGTTTAGAAATAATTGTTTTGGGCTATCGGTGGAGGATAGTCTTGGTTGTTGTAGACACTGTATGTTGATTAGGGAAAACTGAAACTAAGCAAATGGTTAAGTGAATCCACACAAACCCACGTGTGTGTAGGTCCCACACCCATGTAAGAGATTTGGTAAAAAATTTGATAAATCATTTAAGGTCTCTAGCATAATCCGCTAAAATTTTTACCAAATCATACACATGGGTGTGAATCTCATAGGAGTGTCGGGTCCCACAATCATGAGTGTTTGGTAGAAATTTTAATAAAATATTTGGTACCCCTAGCATTAATACTAGAGATATCAAAATGTGATTTATTTTTATTTTTGTGTGTGTGTAAAATCTTACCACATTTACTTTCATTGATTTCCATAAAATTTCCTTATTTATTTTAGTCATTATCAAAAGAAAAAAAATATGCACATGGGATTTTTAAAGCTAGAATTTTGTAATTACCGAAAAGGGAAGAAATGTTAAAATGTAAACATGTTTGCCAGTTTTTCGTGATCTCCAAAAAAATGAAGAAATATTAAAATGTTACCTTGGTCTCATTTGGGAAGTTAGCTATTTTAATAGGTTATTTTAATTTTTAACTATTTTAGTAGGCTAAAATGTTTATGTTTGAGAAGAGGATTATATT